TTTATAGAGTGGAACAAAAACAAAGCCTTGTTTTTGTTTGTAGGAGGAGTTACGTGACCAACAGAGCAAAAAGCAGTGATCATCTGTCTGATTGGTCAATTAACCAAGTTCCCTACAGTATGAAGTCCCCTCTATAGTCCCCACTCTATATAGTGATAGAGGGATTTTGGGGTGAGGTTTTATGAGCTATGAGATCTATGAGAACAGCAACTTTTAAACAGAGCGTGAACAAGGAGAAATGGGCTTGTGCACGCTCTTGCACGCGTTTAATTGGCGTTCCTCTCAGGAGCAGGTACAGGGTTGTAAATGTGCATTTTTTTTTTAAGTTGAGAGGGCAGGTCTTTTAAAAATTTGTGAAAATCCTCCACAATGCCTTTAAAGTATATATATCACAGTAGCCACAGCAGAGATTCCTTACCAATGCAATATTCACTTTCACTACCCATTCCGTCCCAGAAGCACGATCCGTACCATCAGCTTATTTGCACAACCAGATATACATCCAGGTTTCTATAAATAATGTAATTATGGTACTAAAGTTACTTATTTCTATGTTTTATGATTTCTTGATGCTTTTTCAATTTTCTTGGTTAAACTGCTACTGTGACATCATCATGGGACATGCTCAGAGCAGTCTGGCTAAATATGATTAAATCATGTTTATCTGCATTTTGGTTGTTTCTTTCTTTAGATTACGCACTTTATACCATAATGTTAACACGAAAGGAAAACATAAAACAAACAAAAAAAAAAGACTAGATAATGTTTAAATCCAAAGTTGAAAGTTAGCTCCTGGAAGTAGCGTAGGATCCCATTTCTGGAACAGATCGGACAGAGAAGACTGATAAAACAAATATTTTCCCATGAAATACATTACTAACCTCTAACACAGTATAGTTTTGTTTTTCTTTTTTTTTTGTCATTCCGCTGTCACAAGTACAGAGCAACAAAATTCTCTCCCTTTAACCCCTCCCCTTGGGGAGCAGTGGGCTGCCATTGTGCGGCGCTCAGGGAGCAGTGTGGGGTTAAGGGTCTTGCTCAGGGACCCAGAGTGGCAGGCTGTGGGAGTGCCCTAACCACTAGGCCGCCGCTCACCTTATAGTTTAGTACGTTTACTATTTTTGGGGAGTGAAAAATGTAATTTAGGTATATTTTACAAAATAAACTCGAGGGCAACCTGGATGTATATCTGGTTGCGCTGATGAGCTGATGGTACGGATCGTGCTTCCGGGACGGAGCGGCTAGTGACATTTACCACCCGGAATCGTTTCGCTGCTCTCCGCCATGATGAAAATCAAAGTTTACCTCAGAAACTTGGGTATCAGAATTTTCTCCGCTTTCCAGTGGAAGTTCATGTCAGCTTTTGGTATTTACCGTAATAATGAACCACATGAAGGCACCATAAGCTACAGGCAGCATAATCTATTAAACAATCAATTAAACAATTCATAGACAAGGCTAATGACACATAAAAGTTGTGGGGTTATGATAAAATATCTATTTTTTTTTTTCTGTTCCCATTGCTGGGCCATAAACCATGATATTAATTCTAGACATTAATTCTAGACATTA